AATAACAAAAAGATTATAAAATAAAATATAAATGTCTAAGATCTGTTCACATATAAAGGCAACATTCATAAGCTGGCAGATAAACAAAAAATCAGCTATTTGGCCAAATAAAAAAAAAATATACAATTCTTAAAGATACACATACGTGTATATGTCAATCTGTTATGGATTTGTACTTCACATTCATGGCAATGTAGGATTCCACATGTGTCTAACATTTGCCCAGATCAAAAAAAATGTTTTTCTGGAAATGATCTAGAGACTGGTGGTTCAATTAAAACTACTGGCATACTAAATAAATAAAACACAAGCATACACAAGTATTCAAATTCATTAGAATCGTATGTGAAGAAAAAAAGAAAAGAATCTCAAGCAACAAACTCTATTCACTTATACCCATTTTAACACTACCACACACCCATGTGAACAATCCATCATGCATGTTAACAACCACCGTTTTCTAAGAATAGCATTCAATCCCATTAAAATCAGATCTATTACTCTGATACGATACCTCTCTGCATGAAGATCTGACAACCATTGGAGGTTGTGTCAGGTGAATTTTCTGATCAGTCAGTCATAGTCAAAGTCAAAGATTCCATATTCTCAGTATGAGTGTGTGCAATCTGATTTCTGTATCTCGAAAACAATCTTAATTAGCCAATTCCAAATGTAAATAATAAAGGCCATGCCATTATACTGTGGCTATTGTATACACCGCTGTTTCTGAGCAAGATGTCATCTCCACCCAAAGTGCCATAACAGGATAATTTTAGTTCTGTGTGGGTTTACTTTAGTTAAAATCAAAATTTCCCAAAAAGCTGGAAAAGAAATTAAGCTGAACCATTTTGGAAGCTGACATCTGATTGGCTGAAGGAACCAAGAATCCTTTTGTTACTATCAAAACTTCCAAATCAAGCCGGTAAGAAATGAAGAAGAATCCTTTTCGAGGCAGACATCCTATTGGCTCAAGGAAACAAGAATCTTTCACTCAGCTTCTGTGGTCAAAGTATGCAACCTCGGCCTCATTCCACAAAGCAATCGTAGCGCCACACCTGTTGTAAGGCCATGTTAAAGAATGGGAGTTACAATCATCTCAACGCTAAGATTGCTTTGTGGAGCAGGGCCAAGGTGTGTTTGTCAGATCGGCATGTAGTGAGGAGTCAGTAGTGAGTGAGTATGGTTTTACGCCGCTTTTAGCAATATTCCAGCAATACCACTGCTGGGGACACCAGAAATGGGCTTCACACATTGTACCCATGTCGGGGAATCGAACCCAGATCTTCGGCGTGACGAGCGAACGCTTTAACCACTAGGCTACCCGACCGCCCCTGCATGTAGAGAGGAATGTTGAGTACAAGATCTGATTTAGATCAAATAAACATGACATGTTATGTCTAAGGACCGATCAGGTGGCCTGAATGCTAACACCTTACATCATACATCACAAGACTAATATTGAGACTAAAAACACCTCGGACATCTGACGATCTACAATCATAATATTTACAATAATCAACAAGGAGAACACCCCCTACAATGACCCTTACCATTCCAAAATACCAGCGTCCCCTTGAAAGACTTCAGTGTTTCTTATTAAGCGTTCAGTTATGAGACAGCGTAGAAAATTCACTGGAAGCGATCTGTTTCCCAAAGAAATTTATTTAAGAATATGAGTGAGTGAGTGAGTGAGTGAGTGAGTGAGTGAGGTAGGTTTAACACAGCTTTTAACAGTATTCCAGTTATATCGCAGCATGTCAGTTTAATGTGGGAGGAAAGCCCCAAGTGATGCAGGCCTCAGATGTTTACCACTTCGGTGAAACCCACGAGTATGGGTATGGTGCTGACAAACCTAGAAACATAATTTGGGTGAACCGGGACTCGAACCCACAATTATAAGCTTCTGCTCCAGTCAATGTTGGGGGTAAGTATAAAAAATGTCCCAGCAGGTTTTGAATGACTGACATGAATAAATTACAACTGATGAACATGCAACAAGTCCCTGTAAATATGTAGAAGGAACAGAATCTGAAATCCATCTATCCTGTGCCTCTATGAAGGACCAACTTCTAAATGCCTAACAGATACCCAATGAAAGGTGAGTTGGTTTTAATACTCAAGTACCGTATTTCCTCTAGTAGATGCCCGGGTGTCTATTATCTCTCTTAAGCCATTGACCTAGTGTCTATCAGAGACCAGCAGTGGCAACTCACTACATTTCAGAATCCCAAATTCTTCAATCATAAAGGGTCCATTTGCTGGAAATGTTCATTATTGAATTAGAGGGAGTAATTGTTACATGTTGCAAGTTAATGTGATATTAGAGAACCGGTGTCTAATAGAGGACCTGCGTATATGTTTTGGACAGAACGTGTGACCCAGCATTGTGACTCATTATATATACACCAATGTATTGGAGGCTCGGCTTCTAAAAGAGAAAAATACAGTATTCCCCTTTCCTGACAGAAGTGCATGAAACCAAGAGGTGAAACTTAATCAGCAGCAGTATCAATGTCAATAAATATATCACAAAGTTTACATAAACAAGAAAATATATGTGAAAAGGCTTTGTAAATTATCAGTATTTTGTAAGAATCAGGATTTGGGTTGTCAATGGCAGTATATGCAAACCATATTTCATAGAACAAACAACAGCAATTGGAAACAAGTTTAAAAAATAATGTCTGAAATTTAATGAAGCTAAAACAAACACAAAATCCTTTTTCAACCAAAAAATAAAGCCCCCAAAGTACACCATTTCTACACATTCACCGAAAGTGTGAATAATAACCACTTTTAATAAAAAAGTTTTTTTGTAATTTATTTGAGCAAACCCCTGATTGAGTCCTACGGATGTTTTCGTCCTTCAGAGATACTATGTCAGCTGTTACGTTAAGTTGTTGAACCTAGTCAGTCTACAGATACAGAGCATGAAGACCACGAGATTCTCAAAAACACATGCAAGTTGTTAAGTGACGGGTGTGTTTGGGCAAGCTGTCCTAAGACAAACTGAGAACAACTATTTCTTTCTGTTCAATAACAAAGTCTGAATAACATCAAAACTAGTTTTCTACCAGCATGGTTTAACATTTAATACGTTTTATACATATTTTGGTGGGTTACTGACATTTTTTTTTAAGTAGAATCAGGCACTGGACCTTAAACATCATGGACACTGTTCATGAGGTCTGTGTGCAATGGGAACAAACAGGCCCATGATACAAGCTATCATCACTGTGTTCATGATACAAGTTATCATCACTGTGTTCATGATACTAGTTATCGTCACTGTGTTCATGATACTAGTTATCATCCCTGTGTCCATGATACAAGTCATTGTCACTGTGTTCATGATACTAGTTATCATCACTGTGTTCATGATACTAGTTATCATCCCTGTGTCCATGATACAAGTAATCATCCCTGTGTCCATGATACAAGTCATTGTCACTGTGTTCATGATACTAGTTATCGTCACTGTGTTCATGATACTAGTTATCATCACTGTGTTCATGATACAAGTCATTGTCACTGTGTTCATGATACAATTTGCATCACTGTGTTCATGATACAAGTTATCATCAATGTATTCATGATACAAGTTGTCATCAGTGTTCATGATACAAGCTATCATCACTGTGTTCATGATACAAGTTGTCATCACTGTGTTCATGATACAAGTTATCATCACTGTATTCATGATACTAGTTATCATCACTGTGTTCATGATAAAAGCTATCATCACTGTGTTCATGATAAAAGTTAACACTGTTCATGATACAAGCTATCATCACTGTGTTCATGATACAAGATATGATCACTGTTCATGATACAAGTTATCATCACTGTGTTCATGATAATGATAACACAAGTTACTATATTCAGTACCAGCACTGGTTATCACTGCGTTCATGATCATAACACTAGTTATCATTACATTCATGATCATAATGATAACAAGTTATGATCACTTTGTTCAGTATCATAACACTGGTTATCACTGTGTTCATGATCATAACACTGGTTATCACTTCATTCATGATCATGATAACACATTTATAACACTGGTTGAAAATGTAAGGTTGTCCCACCTTATCAAAGTTAAGGTCAGATCTTTTGTCCTTTGATTGGTTGCGAGCAGCATGAAAAATGAACTATTTCATTAGTGAGTGATTGGGTGAGTGATTGAGTGAGTATACAGTAACACAATGAAGGACAACCATAAACAAGCTTAAGGTAAAACACTACGGGTCAACCTGTGACTTCACTGGTTGGTGTTTGACAATGAAATAGTCAACGCTGCTTTGAATAGTATTCCAGTTATATCAGCTTAATGTGGGAGGAAAGTTCGAGGTGATGCAGGTCACAGACATTTGTGACTTCAGTGAAACCCATGAGTATGGGTATGGTGCTGACAAACCCAGAAATTTAACTGGGGTGAACCAGGATTTGAACCCTGGATCACTGGTTTCTGACGTGCCCAAGGGATGCAACTCTGCACAGAGAATTGCTTTGCCTAAGACAGCTGGGAGTATAGGGAGTATAAACTCCTGTAACTGTCTTGTTTTGACACATATGAGTTAGAACATTTCAAGGTGTGGGCTGTGTAGAACTAGTCAGGTCATCACATTGTGGGGGCTATGTAGAACTAGTCAGTTCCTCACATTGTGGGGACTATGTAGAACTAGTCAGGTCATCACATTGCGGGGGCTATATAGAACAGTCAGGTCATCACATTGTGTGAGCTATGTAGAACTAGTCAGGTCATCACATTGCGGGGGCTATGTAGAACAGTCAGGTCATCACATTGTGTGAGCTATGTAGAACAGTCAGGTCATCACACTGTGGGGGCTATGTAGAACTAGTCAGGTCATCACACTGTGTGAGCTATGTAGAACAGTCAGGTCCTCACATTGTGAGGGCTATGTAGAACAGTCAGGTCATCACATTGTGTGAGCTATGTAGAACAGTCAGGTCATCACACTGTGTGAGCTATGTAGAACAGTCAGGTCATCACATTGTGGGGGCTATGTAAGACAGTCAGGTCATCACACTGTGGGGGCTATGTAGAACAGTCAGGTCATCACACTGTGTGAGCTATGTAGAACAGTCAGGTCATCACATTGTGGGGGCTATGTAGAACAGTCAGGTCATCACATTGTGGGGGCTATGTAGAACAGTCAGGTCTTCACACTGTGGGGGATTTGTAGAACTAGTCAGGTCATCACATTGTGGGGGTTATGTAGAACTAGTCAGGTCATCACACTGTGGGGGCTTTGTAGAACTAGTCAGGTCATCACATTGCGGGGGCTATGTAGAACAGTCAGGTCATCACATTGTGTGAGCTATGTAGAACCAGTCAGGTCATCACACTGTGTGGGCCATGTAGAACAGTCAGGTCCTCACATTGTGGGGGCTGTGTAGAACTAGTCAGGTCATCACATTGTGTGAGCTATGTAGAACCAGTCAGGTCATCACATTGTGTGAGCTATGTAGAACCAGTCAGGTCATCACATTGTGTGGGCTATATAGAACTAGTCAGGTCCTCACATTGTGGGGGCTATGTAGAACTAGTCAGGACATCACATTGCGGGGGCTATGTAGAACAGTCAGGACATGACACTGTGGGGGCTGTGTAGAACCAGTCAGGACATCACATTGCGGGGGCTATGTAGAACAGTCAGGTCCTCAAATTGTGGGGGCTGTGTAGAACTAGTCAGGTCATCACATTGTGTGAGCTATGTAGAACCAGTCAGGTCATCACACTGTGTGGGCTATATAGAACTAGTCAGGTCCTCACATTGTGGGGGCTATATAGAACTAGTCAGGTCATCACACTGTGTGAGCTATGTAGAACTAGTCAGGTCATCACATTGCGGGGGCTATATAGAACAGTCAGGTCATCACATTGTGTGAGCTATGTAGAACTAGTCAGGTCATCACATTGCGGGGGCTATATAGAACAGTCAGGTCATCACATTGTGTGAGCTATGTAGAACTAGTCAGGTCATCACATTGCGGGGGCTATATATAGTCAGGTCATCACATTGCTGGGGCTATCCAGAACTAGTCAGGTCATCACACTGTGGGGGCTATGTAGAACAGTCAGGTCCTCACATTGTGGGGGCTATGTAGAACCAGTCAGGTCCTCACATTGTGGGGGCTATGTAGAACTAGTCAGGTCATCACATTGTGGGGGCTATGTAGAACTAGTCAGGTCATCACATTGTGGGGGCTATGTAGAACAGTCAGGTCATCACATTGTGGGGGCTATGTAGAACCAGTCAGGTCATCACATTGTGGGGGCTATGTAGAACAGTCAGGTCATCACATTGTGGGGGCTATGTAGAACTAGTCAGGTCATCACATTGTGGGGGCTATGTAGAACAGTCAGGTCATCACATTGCGAGGGCTATGTAGAACCAGTCAGGTCCTCACATTGTGGGGGCTATGTAGAACTAGTCAGGTCATCACATTGTGGGGGCTATGTAGAACTAGTCAGGTCATCACATTGTGGGGGCTGTGTAGAACCAGTCAGGTCCTCACATTGTGGGGGCTTTGTAGAACTAGTCAGGTCCTCACATTGTGGGGGCTATGTGGAACTAGTCAGGTCATCACATTGCGGGGGTTATGTTGAACTAGTCAGGTCCTCACATTGTGAGGGCTTTGTAGAACCAGTCAGATAGGTCATCACATTGTGGGGGCTGTGTAGAACCGGTCAGATAGGTCATCACACTGTGGGGGCTATGTAGAACTAGTCAGGTCATCCCACTGTGGGGGCTATGTAGAACTATTCAGGTAAGTCACAGTATCACAGTCTATAGATCGGGTATAACAATTAAACTGCCCTGCAGGTCCGTCTTGGTTGAAGCAGAAATATTCCTGAATCCAGCAGTTTTTGTCTTCTCTGCAGGATTGCTAGAGAATAGGCTCATAGCCATTCCAGTCCACTTCAGCATCCGCCCACCTGAAATACACAACACAAGAGAGTGTAGAAGGCTGTCATGGCACATACACATACGCCTGGTATTGCCTTGGGGGGTAAGAGATTGAGGGTGCTACTTGAATTGTAATGGCTCACATGTGGTATCGAGGCTGATCCTTACTCATCATGGGATATCACTTATTGTATCCTTACTGATTGTTAATGGTATATATCACTCTTGTGTCCTTACTCATCATGGGATATCATTTATTGTATCCTTACTGATTGTTAATGGTATATATCACTCGTGTATCCTTACTCATCATGGGATATCACTTATTGTATCTTTACTGATTGTTAATGGTATATATCACTCTTGTGTCCTTACTCATCATGGGATATCACTTATTGTATCCTTACCGATTGTTAATGGTATATATCAATCTTGTGTCCTTACTCATCATGGGATATCACTTATTGTATCCTTACTGATTGTTAATGGTATATATCACTCGTGTATCCTTACTCATCATGGGATATCACTTATTGTATCTTTACTGATTGTTTATGGTATATATCACTCTTGTGTCCTTCCTCATCATGGGATATCACTTATTGTATCCTTACTGATTGTTTATGGTATTTAATACCTACAGGGTTAGAAATAATCGAATTCATAAATATCATATGTGCAATAGTGCAAATATCACTCCTTGCACACCAGTGTATTGTTTCCGTTATTTGGTTTGTTTTGTTTGTTCAATGCTGCACACAGCAATATTCCAGCTATATGACAGGGGTCTGTTAGTAATTGAGTCCGGAGCAAACAATCCAGTGATTGACATCATGAGCATAGATCCACGCAATTGGGATTGATGACATGCATCAACCAAGTCAGCGAGCATGACCACCTGATCCCATTAGTCGCCTCTTACGACAAGCATAGTCGCCTTTTACGGCTAGTACGGGTTGCTGAAGACCTATTCTACCCCAGATTTGTTCGGACAGCATTGTTGACGTCATTTGACTCTCATTGTGACGTGAGGACGGAATGACGTCACACCAGAAATGACTTCATAGTTGAAGATTGTTATGTCTTTCGACAAATTGTGGTTTTCTAGGACAGTCTTGGTGATTTATATTAAAGGGGAGCTCAAAAGGATTAAGAATAATGGGTAACAGAGAAATTATTACACTCACATGTGTGTCATACTGATTTTACGAAAAGCGTGTAAAAATTTAATGTACTTCCCTTGCTATGCTCGGGAGAAACAAGAATTCTGACACACATTTCGTAAAATCAGTATGACGCACATGCTCGTATAACAATCTCTATATATCACTCTTTTCATTCATAGTTACATATTCCTCATTGTATCATTGGGGTGTTCCGGTAGGCTAGTGGTTAAAGCGTTGGCTCGTCACACCGAAGATCCGGGTTCGATTCCCCACATGGGTACAATGTGTGAAGCCTATTTCTGGTGTCCCCCGCCGTGATATTGCTGGAATACTGCTAAAAAGCGGCTTAATAGAACATACTCACTCATTATTGTATCCTTACCAATGGTAATATATCATTATCATATCCTTACTGATCATAATATATCACTATCGCATCAGCCATACAATATCATTACACAGTAAACTTATCGAGTCATTATAGCATGATGACACCAAACTGTTTCAACCTGTGTTCATCTGGACTGTTTCCTCATCACTACTTCCTCCCTACTGCATCCTGCAGCAGCACGATGTAGAGGGGGAGTCAGAGTGGGTACTCACTTTGTGCGTATACAGTGGTCCAGAGGCGGAACTAGCTCCTCATCAGATGGCGGCTTGAAGAATCTACTTGACGTGTCTACACAAACAAAAAACAATGTTCACTTCCTAGAAACCTACGATCATGTCACAGGTTACAGGGGAGCTGAGTCAGTGGCATGGTGAGGTGAGGTAAGGTGAAATTGGGTTTTACGTCGCGTCCAAGATTATTGCACTTATATAGCGACGTGCATGTATGTGTATGTGTTTGTGTGGCTGCTTGTACAAGTCCGGACTGATGCCGATTTATAGTGCTAGCTCACTGAGATACCATGCCGCAGTTTAACATGAATACCCCACTCAGACACAGTATACTGACTCCAAGCTGACCAGTCCTTGTTTTAGCCCCTTAATGCCAAGCGCCAAGTACCATCTTTTAACGTCTTTTGGTATGACGCGGCCAGGGATAAAAAAAACCCGGACCTTCTGCCCTCCGGGCGGACGCTCTACCTCTAGACCACGGGAGCTGAGTCAGTGACATGGGCTACAACTGGATAGCGTAACAAAGTAGACACAATTTATGGATAACAACTCCTTCATTTTACTGTGATGGTATGGCCTGACAACAGTTTTAGGACCTATACCGATTCGTCACCATTATAGTAAAATATAGAAGTTGTTGTCCAGAAATTGTGTCTACTTTGTCATCTGTCAACAAATAAGTAATGCCTATCAAACAATGGATATCATAATTCGAGAATAGCCACGCTACGAGGACGAGGCCCTGTTCCATAAAAACAACCTCTGTGGTCTAGTGGTAGGGTGTCTGACCGGAGAGTGGAAGGTCTGGGATTTGATCCCCGGCCGCATCATACTAAACATTAGAAGATTGTACTTGTTACCCTGTTTGGTGCTCGGCATTAAGGGGCTAAAACAAGGAGTGGTCGGCTCGGAGTCAGTATACTGTGTCTGAGTGTGGTATTTATGTTAAACTGCAGCCTCAGTATCTCAGTGTGCTAGCACTATAAATCGACATCAGTCAAGACTTGTACAAGCAGCCACACACCCACCCATGTGCATGCATATAAAAGTGCAATAATCTTGAACGTGACCATAAACCCCATTTCACCTCACTGGTTTCCACAGAGCGATCTTAGCACTAAGGTAATCATAACTCACATACTTTAATGAGTGAGCGAGTATGGTTTTACGCCGCTTTTAGCAATATTCCAGCAATATCACAGCGGGGGACACCAGAATGGGCTTCATACATTGTACCCATGTCGAGAATTGAACCCAGGTCTTCGGCGTGACGAGAGAACGCTTTAACCACTAGGCTACCCGACCTCCCCACACATACTTTAACACAGGCGTAAAATGAAATGAATGTAACGCTGATAATCACTTTGTGGAACACAGCCCAGAGTGAATGAATGTTGTTAATCCCCAGCCTTTGTCTGAGAGACAGATAATCCATGAATACAGTTTTGAGCAGGTTATTCAATATACTACTAATAGACACTTTAAGAGAGTTATGTAAGTGAAAAGATTAAAAATGTCAACCCTACAGAGGAATTTAACTGAAGGCACCCTATATAACCGGCATTTGCCTAATGCGACACACTGTCTACTCTGTCAATATATTTCTGTGTAATTCAGCTGTGTTTCCAGATTACTGAGATGTTTGTCAGTCCCAGTTAACCATTTACATAGGAAATGCCTCTCTGTAACCTAGCACTGAACAATCACTCATCCGTAAGTCGTAAACAAATACTCAAATAACTAGGTGTATGTGAATAAAGTATAGAAAGACATTGTGGGTTCGAATCCCGGTTCACCCCGATTATGTTTCTAGGTTTGTCAGCACCATACCCGTGCACGTAGGTTTCATCGAAGCGGTAAACATCTGAGACCTGCATCACTTCGGGCTTTCCTCCTACATTAAGCTGACACGCTGTGATATAACTGGAATACTGTTAAAAGCGGCGTTAAACCTACCTCACTCACTCACTCTTTCTGCTACCACCTGATGCCATCTTCCCAAGGCAAGGGTGTTTACTAACTGTAAAAGTCCAGTTTTCATCCTTGCTGAACTACGCTGAATTCCGGTATTACATTTCGGGTGAACTAAATTCACAGTCAAATCAAAATCGCGCAACAAACTAGACATCCGGCTCGTAAACAACATTGATTTTAACGTGCAGATTTCGGTCAACTGCAGGATTTGCAAAGCATGTTTACTGCCAACTCAGCGCTGACAGATATTTTCTAAATCTTTTCAAGTTTTTAAACAAGGTGCACATACAATTTGGTGCACTTCGCGAAGTAATATACGACTTATTGCAACAACGATCTTAATAACGACTTGATTTGCCGATCAGATCGTCTTGAATGGGCGCCACCACTATATGAGAGATGGAATCTGATCAGTCAATAGGAGGGACATAGAAGGGACATAACCCGTAATAGACACTGGAGGCACTACGATCACAGCCACAAAATTCCAGCATGGTTTGGCAAGGGTTGTAACTGGACTTTTGTCGTCAGATAACGCGCCTGCCTTGGGAAGATGACTGATGCTGGTTATTGACAGCATCCACTAATTCTCAGATAAATAATATTCATATTGAAATAGCATGTATGACATATGTATCCTAATACATGACAACTCACCGACGGTTAATTTAATCTGCTCTTGTTGTCTGGCAAGGCCATCATAGTAGTAGAGGTCAAACCTGCGCTCGGCCTTCCAGTCACTGATCAACTCTCGCCTGATACTGAACAACACACTGAAGTGACTCTCACTGCACACCACCCAGATTGGGAACTTGGGAGTCTTGTAGTACGTCCCCACCTACAACACAGACAAAGATTCTGTGAACAACACACTGAAGTGACTCTCACTGCACACCACCCAGATCGGGAACTTGGGGGTCTTGTAGTACGTCCCCACCTACAACATGGACAAAGAAGCTGTGAACAACACACTGAAGTGACTCTCACTGCACACCACTCAGATCGGGAACTTGGGAGTCTTGTAGTACGTCCCCACCTACAACATGGACAAAGAAGCTATGAACAACACACTGAAGTGACTCTCACTGCACACCGCCCAGATCGGGAACTTGGGAGTGTTGTAGTACATCCCCACCTACATGGACAAAGAAGCTATGAACAACACACTGAAGTGACTCTCACTGCACACCGCCCAGATCGGGAACTTGGGAGTCTTGTAGTATGTCCCCACCTACAACACGGACAAAGAAGCTATGAACAACACACTGAAGTGACTCTCACTGCACACCGCCCAGATCGGGAACTTGGGAGTGTTGTAGTACATCCCCACCTACATGGACAAAGAAGCTATGAACAACACACTGAAGTGACTCTCACTGCACACCGCCCAGATCGGGAACTTGGGAGTCTTGTAGTACGTCCCCACCTACAACACAGACAAAGAAGCTGTGAACAACACACTGAAGTGACTCTCACTGCACACCACCCAGATCGGGAACTTGGGAGTCTTGTAGTACGTCCCCACCTACAACATGGACAAAGAAGCTGTGAACAACACACTGAAGTGACTCTCACTGCACACCACCCAGATCGGGAACTTGGGGGTCTTGTAGTACGTCCCCACCTACAACATGGACAAAGAATCTGTGAACAACACACTGAAGTGACTCTCACTGCACACCACCCAGATCGGGAACTTGGGGGTCTTGTAGTACGTCCCCACCTACAACATGGACAAAGAAGCTGTGAACAACACACTGAAGTGACTCTCACTGCACACCACCCAGATCGGGAACTTGGGGGTCTTGTAGTACGTCCCCACCTACAACACGGATAAAGAAGCTGTGAACAACACACTGAAGTGACTCTCACGGCACACCACCCAGATCGGGAACTTGGGGGTCTTGTAGTACGTCCCCACCTACAACACGGATAAAGAAGCTGTGAACAACACACTGAAGTGACTCTCACGGCACACCACCCAGATCGGGAACTTGGGGGTCTTGTAGTACGTCCCCACCTACAACATGGACAAAGAAGCTATGAACAACACACTGAAGTGACACTCACTGCACACCACCCAAATCTTAAAATTGGGTGTCTTGCAGTATGTCTCCACCTTGCACTAAAAATAGACATGGGGAAATCCTGATGGAAACAGGCAAGCTGACTTAGTTCGAAAAATATACTTAAATGAAAATCACAAATGTTTTGTTCAACAACAAAAGTTTATGAGATACTTTTTTGCCGGTCCACAGGGTCTTGCAGTCACATGAATTATCTGTCCATGCCTAATTTCACTGGCATAAAACTAGTAATTACCGCTAAACAGGAAGACTGGAATGACTGTACCTGGCATGACTTGTAGTGTTCAAACAAGGACAGGAATCCAATATCGGAGCGTGCATGTACGCCCTTGAGTATGGTGACCTGGTCATTCCCGGAGTCCAGCTCCATGACATCGTTAAACACATTGGCCACAGCTCGGCCGGTCAGCAGCAAGTTTACCATTTCCTGCAAAACAAATGTCAGCAAATTGCATAAAAGACAGTTCTATTCTAAATATTTGCACCACTCCTCCAAACTGCTGACACAACGTAGCTGTTACTGGTAGTATCATATGCTGGGATGTGAGCAGGTTTTCCCCCAAAAGAGGAGAACTCTAAACATTTGATTGCATTTTAAGCAATTTCGTGCAGTTTGGACAACATTCACACCAAGAAATGTAATGTCAAAAGATGGTGGATGCAGTAAAAAAGTTTAATCAGAATTTTAAAAAAAAATCAGGCGTAGCTTCCACGCACCCAGCTATCCCGCCTACTAGCAATACTGCCATACAATTCACCCCCCATGCCCCAGACACAAGGACAACTGTCACAAGCGTGCAATGTCTGACCCTATATTTTTATGCGGAAGATGATTTTTTCCCCTGAGGACTACTGTTTTAAAAAACGAGATTTTCCGTGTTTCCGCGGAGATTTCACATCCCTGCATATGAATGCACTCCTTGCCGATATGTGCACCCTCCCTGCTAGAATGTCAAGCCTCCCACCTAGAATGTCCACCCTTCCACCGAGCATGTCAACCCTAGCAGCTAGAATGTCCACCCTCACACCTAGATTATCCACCCTCCTACCTAGAATGTCCACCCTCCTACTTAGAATGTCCACCCTCCTACCTAGAATGTCCACCCTTCCAGCAAGAATGTCCACTCTCCTATCTAGAATGTACACCATCCCCCACTCAGAATGTCCACCCTCCAACCTAGAATGTCCACCCTTCCAGCAAGAATGTCCACCCTCCCTACTAGAATGTCAAGCCTCCCACCTAGAATGTCCACCCTCCCAGCTAGAATGTCAAGCCTCCCAGCTAGAATATCCACCCTCACACCTAGATTATCCACCCTCCTACCTAGAATGTACACCCTCCTACCTAAAAAGTCCATCCTCCTACTTAGAATGTCCACCCTCCCAGCAAGAATGTCCACCCTCCCAGCAAGAATGTCCACCCTCCCAGCAAGAATGTCCACTCTCCTAACTAGAATGTCCACCCTCCCCCACTCAGAATGTCCACCCTCAGAGCTAGAATGTCCACCCTCCCACCTAGAATGTCCTCCCTCCTACCTAGAATGTCCACCCTCCCACCTAGAATGTCAACCCTCCCACCTAGAATGTCCATCCTCTCTGCTAACATGTCATGATCAGTCCGGTACCTGAGTGCAATAGCCATGGGCTGCCATCAGTTTCCCATCGGTCTCATCCAGGTCACCACGAACTCTGCAAGTAGAGCACACCACATAAAATAGACAAACACATTTATCATGGACATAAACAAAAACAATACAACCATCTGTACGGCACTTTCACCAACAGACTGACTGACGTTCACGTTTGGTTCCATTTTTGATCTACAGGTAATCTAGCGCTTCACTGAAAACGCAGTGTGTACTATTAAAGTAGATATGTTTCGCCATTCAGTTTACACAAGGTTCCTAACACATACGTAAGGCAGCAATGTTGTGTCACTTAGCCACAGCAATAGAAGAAGTGCCAATACAAGTCCTCCCCACATGGTCCCTAACACATACGTAAGGCAGCAATGTTGTGTCACTTAGCCACAGCAATAGAAGAAGTGCCAACACAAGTTCCTCCCCACAAGGTCCCTAACACATACGTAAGGCAGCAATGTTGTGTCACTTAGCCACAGCAATAGAAGAAGTGCCAACACAAGTTCCTCCCCACACTGGTGGTATCAGATGACCAGACTGACCTGCACAGGCTCCGCCTACTAAGTCCAGCTGGACATACCACTGAGCTTACAAGAATATATTTCGCTAGACATGTTAATTACAAGAATATGGTACTAATGATGTTGCCGTGTGCTCCGGTACTCCACTGACCTGTCCAGCCCCCTCGACAGCAGGGCTGAGTATAGCACCAGGATCACCCCATTGTTGCCATCGAGCTCAAACTGAAAAACACAACACCAGACACATAGTACCATGTCCACATTAACAGTCACATATAACCAGACACATATTACCAGACACACATCACCAGACACACATCACCAGACACACATTACCAGACACATATAAGCAGACACATATAACAGACACATATTACCAGACACATATAACCATACACACATTATCATGTGCATATAAACAAACACATATTACCATGCGCATATTAACAGCCATATCACAATAACAAATAAACAGACACATATTACCATATCTTATCACATATAACCAGTCATATTGCAGGCATTGATGAAGCAAGGTTTTGTTTGTTAAGTCGGGCTCCAGAGGACCTGTAGTATTTAGTTTTGCTATACAATACTATACAATTAAATGTCAAGTGATAAATTCTTAGTATATCAGCTGGTATAATATGTTTCAAGAGACCGTGACTTTTCACACCACTAATGAAAATAAGGGAGAGAATTGACGGCTGGGATAAAACTTTCTTAGTAAAGTACAGATTCTTGTTCTTTTTTTGGATGGGACTCGACCCACAAAAAGTAAGAGAATCTGTACTTTACTAAGAAAGGGTTATCCCAAATATAACATTTGTTACATTTGACCACTTTCTAAATGGCATTGTGTATACATAGCTTTCGGCCATGGGAGCCGTGCCAATTTAATGTGTCAGAGGGGTACTCAATGTACGCGATCTAAACTACCAGTTGTCAGCCTTTCTTTTTTGTGGAAGCCTCGGTGGCTGAGTAGGTTAGATCGCTGACTTTGTGTGCTGGCAATTAGGTGCCTCACTCTGGCAAGTGTGGGTTCGAATCCCGGGAGGGACTCAACCCGAAAAAAGTACGAGAATCTGTACTTTTCTAAGAAAGTGTTATCCCAAATATAACATTTGTTACGTTAAACTTCTTTATTATGAGGAACACAACGTTTGGGAGTATATGTTTACTCCTTCTTTAGCTGGATCCATAATATATATATATACTCCGAAATGTGTTCCTCTTAATAAAGTGAGTGAGTGAGTATTGTTTTACGCTGCTTTAAGCAATATTCCAGCAATATAATGGCGGGGGACACCAGAAATAGGCTTCACACATTGTACCCATGTCAGGAATCGAACCCAGGTCTTCGGTGTGACGAGCGAATGCTTTAACCACTAGGCTACCCAACCTACCCCTCATAATAAAGAAGTTGACATCCATAAGTTCTCTCCCTTATGTGTATCACTTCTAAATGCCATTCAAAGAGACTAATAACAATAAATAATGAATTTCATGTTGAATGATTAATGTGTCTGCATCACTTGGGACAGTCATTTATTTCTGTTTCAGATCACACATTTGGGAATACTGGATGCAAGTTTCAACATAGTGTAAACTCTGTGAAATATAAGGGCTATGGTTGGAAAAATAAAATAATTAGTCCTCTTCTTGTAAAATAGGACGTGGTAAGAAAAAACGAACTACACACGGTCAGAATATTCCGTTTTGTCTGAAACCCAAAACAAGTAGGACAGTGATGATTAGGGGTGAAATGATACAGCAAGGTAACGATACGATACATATCACGATATGATATGTATCGCAACACACATATTTACGTCAAATGGAAACTTCTTGACATTAAATACTTTGGAGCAGGTTCAAAAGGAAAAGCTAGCTATAGACACATGTTCGTAATGGCTATTTTTAGTAGTGAACTTGAAACGCTAATTACAACACATTTTCTGATATCTGACTGACAAAAACGCCAGGGGTCATTAAACGAGTAGTAAGAAATTTATTTCAGCATGTGTATGTCTTGTATCGATACAGAGAAAAACGTATCATGTATCGTATCGTCACCTGAAAACTCACATTGAACCGGTGCACCGATGTATTGTTTCAGCCCCTAGAGATGACGGAAGTTGACTTGTTAACTTGCTATCCTCTAACACAAAGGAAATTATCAACAACGTATCTCAAATGAAATACTTGCTCGCAAGACACCACTGGACTGAATAGGAATGAATACTTTGTTTGTGGCCATACTACACACAGGTTAAGCACCTTCACAGGAGGAAGGGACGTTTCTCACCTGAGATATGGATTGTTTCATAAAACTCAGCAATTCTTCATATTTCATGAAAGTGTAGAGTGTCAGCTGAAACAGACAGAAACAGGAATACACTAAAATATATACCGTATTCGACATAATAAGCACCCAGGGCTCTTTCAAAGTTAGAAATAGGGGGCTCTTATTAGAATATTATTTTGGTGAAAAAAACAACAGAGTTGAACGATCGTAAATTTCGTGGTTTATGCTGACAGCCTGAAATGTTTATATACAACAGATATATTTTTTCCAGAATTTAATTTCCCATAAAATAAGAATGCATATACAATACGTATTTTACATGAATAAATAAGTCCTGTGTACATTGATCAATCGGAAGGGGTGCTAATTGGGATTGTTCACTGGCCAATATATTAGAAAATATCGCTGTGGGCGCTTATTACGTCGAAATACAGTAATCATAATGATAATAGCCATGACTTCCAATTAATTAAAACATACGATGCATCTTCAAAAGATGTCTATAAGGCTAAAAAAGATAATAGTCCTGGTTCTTAGGTACCGCCCGCATCATCATTAAGTCTGTCGCATGTTTTGTTTTTATTTCCATTTAAAAAACCCAAAAAAACTAATCCTTAAAAACAATATAACATGCGCACTGCTTTACTGTGCATCTCGTGTTATGGTGGCAATAGGAGTTTGTATGCTTATTATTTAGCAATGTTTACGGAGGCCCTTTCCCAGGTTGTTGGTACTGTTTGAACCCCTCAAACAAACACACCGCCTGCCCGCATTATTTTTTCAAAAGTCATTTCCTGAGAACCAATTCTCTTAACTTTTTAAGCCTTAGCATTAATTCTTCTATTAACTGTAATGGTAGTTATCATTGTTATATATACTGAACCACAAAAGTTAGGGATCATGAATGTTTTTGAGGATATTTTATGAAATTGTGTCCTCAGTCATCACTACAACAACAACCCCCCAAAATATACATAATCCATAACGTTATTTGTTCAGTGTAGTAGAGCTCCAGATTAGCTGTGTATCTGCGTGAAATACGCATCAGAAATGCAGAAATATGCAGTAAAATATAATCCAAGTGTATCAAATACGCAACAAACATTACAGATACGCTACAAAAATAAAACTTGTGCATATCATCAAAATATTGTGAAGTAACCCTGTGTATTCGATTAGCAAATCAGCAACTTATTTTGAAATTATAAACGGGCATTCCGTCAACCTTGCCAAACTCCACGATGACAGTCACATCATGATCATTTGCCATCACACTTTCTTGTGGAAGTATCGTGGTATTTTTGAGTCCTATAAAGCTCTCGAACCCACACGACACCAGTTTGCAGCGACTAGATGAATAGTGTTTTTAAATATTTAACTTAAATACCCACATGTGTAAAAACTAGTGGGTAACAGAAATTTGAATACGCAGATAGAATTACTGATACCCAGTGATTTTAAAATGCATGGGTAAAATACCCACAACACCAAAAGCTTATCTGGAGCTCTGGTGTAGTACATTTAAGTAACACAAAAATTGTTGTTACTGAAATGATTGGTGTTTTTTTTTCCATTTCATTACACTTATCCTATTTATATGAACATTCCACTTACTGTTTCTGTGAGGTTGTCATGCTTGAATTTAGCACTGGCAAGAACATGTGGCCTCCCCGAGGGCCTGAAATATAACATCAAATAATTAAACTCAAAATCCAAACCTAAACCTAACAGTGACACCCATTTCATTGTTCTATACAGGGCTGTTCTTGGGGTGTGGGGTTGGGGTGTGGGGGGATAGGTTGAAAAATAACACCTCAGGTCTTACCTTCAGACCAGTCTCCTCAACCCCCCAGGTCTACTCCCACCACATCTTCCTGAGGCAAGAGAGTTAACTGACTATAAAAGTCCAGTTTCCACCCTTGCCCAACTAGGCTGGTATTATGGAGTTACATTTTGGCTGGACTAACGAGTCTATGCATAGTCAAATCAAAATCACGCACCAAAATCGAAATCCGGTTCGTAAACCGTCGTGCAGATTTCGGTCAATTGGAGGATTTGCAAAGCATGTGCACCGCCAACTTGTTGTCAGCAGATATTTTCCCAATCTTCTCATGTTTTTAATCAAGGTGCTCACGTGATTTGATGCATTTCGCAATGTAAGACCTATTTTATCACAATATATATCTTCATTATCGATCAGATCGTCCTGACCGGGCGCCACCAGTTTGTGTCAAGCAAACGCAATTGATACGAGAGGTAGGAATCTGATTGGTCCACAGGAGAGGCTTAGAAGGAACATAACTGGTAATAGCCACTGGTGGCGCTACGATCGAGCCCAGTAATTCCAACCTAATTCGGCAAGGGTGGAAACTGGACTTTTAAAGTCAGTTAACTCTCTTGCCTCGGGGAGATGCTCCCACCAGGGTGGGGAGGTAGACTAGTGGTTCAAGTGTTTGCTCATCAAGCTGAAGACCTGGGTACAATGTGTGAAGCCCATTTCTGGTGTTTCCTACCATGATATTGCTGGACTATTGCGAAAAGCAGCGTAAAACCATACTCACTCACACCAAGACCTCATTCTCGGGGGTGGTCCTATCCTGCCAGGTTTTCCAGCCTGTATGGACTAGTCTGTTCAAACTGTCTCATCATGTTCACACAACCAGAGTGCATCATTTCACACTTCACTTCACCACTATAGTCACTGGACTATCATACTATCACGGGTGGCACGGGTGGCCCAGTCGTCTAAGTCGCTGCGATTTGCTGTGCAGAGTTGCGTCCCTTGGACACACCAGAAACCTATGATTGTGGGTTCGAATCCCGGTTCGCCCCGATTATGTTTCTAGGTTTGTCGGCACCATACCCGTGCTCGTAGGTTTCACCGAAGTGGTAAACGTCAGAGACCTGCATCACTTCGGGCTTTCCTCCCACATTAAGATGACATGCCGTGATGTAACCAGAATACTGTTAAAAGCGGCGTTAAACCCAACTCACTCACTTAACACATTTGCATCAAGTGGAGGATGAACACACAAACACACAATGCCATGTAAAAAGTGGTCAAATGTAACAAATGTTATATTTAGGATAACACTTTCTCAGTAAAGTACAGATTCTAGTACAGGATGTCAAAATGGCCAACACGATCAACGCGACGGGTGGGATTTCTGAAGTTGTCAATGAACCTGTGGCGTTTAGGCGTTAGTCATCATTAGATCAAGTGGCCGATCATTCAGAGAGATTATAAAGATGTGAATGTAGAATGTTGATGACAGTCACTGTCAGTCTGGGCAAGGATAGAGTCAACAGTTTGGGTGTGCATTTCTTCATTATGTTCCTGGGATTGGTCGCAGCGAGGATACTTGTGAACCGACATGCAGTCAATTTGGAAGTAGTCCATCAGTGTTTTCGTCATTTCAAGAATAGTCTCATGACAAATGTATAAATGTGAAAAGTATGCCCATAAATGGCAGTTTTGCAGTCTTGTGTCGAGCCTCTTGACCAGTGGAAAAGACGTATACATGTAAACTTCACATTAAAAAAATTATGATGTATTGTATCGAGCTAGGTATTGTTATTATTATTAGTAGTAGTAGAAGGGGTGGTGGTGGTGGTGGAAGTAGTAGTAGTAGTAGTAGTAGTAGCAGCAGCAGCAGCAGCAGCAGCAGTAGTAGTGGTGGAGGTGGTGGTGGCGGGAGTAGTAGTGGTGGTAGTAGTAGTAGTAGGGTGGCGGGAGTAGTAGTGGTAGTAGTAGTAGTAGTAGTAGTAGTAGTAGTAGTAGTAGTAGTAGTAGCAGCACATGCAGCCATATAGCCCTGTACTCACATGGACACTACAGACTTCTTAAAATCCCCCGCCCGCCACAGTATATGACTGAGAGCTCGAGCCAGGAAGGTCGACCTTTCACTTCTCGAGGGGTCAAGACTGAAACAATGAAACAAGGTCATCATGATCAGAACATCAAGCTGGTCTAGTAGTTGACAAAGCATCCATAGTCAGCATTATTTCACAGACAACACATAACAAAATATTCTATTATTTACAAACTACAAATGACTACAAACACACAAACACAACGTCAACAATGCACCTCATTAATCTGCTCTTAAGATTGTTTGTTTATTTGTTTGTTCATCATGCATCAACCAAACAAGCGAGCCTGACCATCCGATCCTGTTAGTTGCCTCTTACGACAAGCACAGTCGCTTCTTACGGCAAGCATGGGTTGCTACGGGTCCCGCACTTACGACAAGCATGGGGTACTGGGAGCCTGCCCAGGAATTCCCCACAGTGGGAGTGAGTGAATGGTGTTTTATGCAACACACAGTGGTTGATAGCATGAACATCTGGTACATCAGGATATGAAAACACACAAACAACCAATTACACATTGTGATCATCAAATCCTCCAATCAACTGGACAAACATGAACTCGGCATTCAGCAGAGAGTATTGTACTTTACCATTTGTTGTGTGTCAACTTGTGTTCCCCAAACAACATCTCCTGCAGCATACAAGCCTGGATGGACGCCATCACGCCACACGGACCGCCCTGAAGCAGTGGATGGATGGCAACAGTGGTCATTCAGAAACAATCCTGACAGAACATGCCAAATCATATTACCATGATTACTGGGTAACATACCATGTACCATGATTATGAGGTAATACTGTAAATCTTGAAATTAATGCGAGTGTGAATTAAATGCAAAAAATGCGAGAGAGTTGTATTGATATTGAGTCGCATTATTGGCTAGGGGTCAGCAGTCGTAATAATTTGGAGACGCTTTAATTTCAAGACTTACAGGATACCATGTATACCATGATTACTGGTAAATATACCATGTATACCATGATAACAGGTAAATATACCATGTATACCTTGATTACTGGTAAATATACCATGTCTACCATGACTACTGGTAAATATACCATGTATACAATAACAGGTAAATATACCATGTATACCATGATAACAGGTAAATATACTATGTATACCATGATAACAGGTAAATATACCATGTATACCATGATAACAGGTAAATATACCATGTATACCGTGATTACTGGTAAATATACCATGTATACCATGATAACTGGTAAATATACCATGTATACCATGATAACAGGTAAATATACCATGTATACCATGATAACAGGTAAATATACCATGTATACCGTGATTACTGGTAAATATACCATGTATACCATGATTACTGGTAAATATACCATGTATACCATGATAACAGGTAAATATACCACGTATACCATGACAACAGGTAAATATACCACGTATACCATGACAACAGGTAAATATACCATGTATACCATGACTACTGGTAAATATACCATGTATACCATGACAACAGGTAAATATACCATGTATACCGTGATTACTGGTAAATATACCACGTATACCATGATTACTGGAAAATATACCATGTATAGCATGATAACTGGTAAATATACCATGTATACCATGACAACAGGTAAATATACCATGTATACCATGACTACTGGTAAATATACCATGTATACCATGACAACAGGTAAATATACTATGTATACCATGATAACAGGTAAATATACCATCTATACCGTGATTACTGGTAAATATACCATGTATACCATGAAAACAGGTAAATATACCATGTATACCATGATAACAGGTAAATATACCATGTATACCATGATTACTGGTAAAAAAGGACACAGAGTTACCTGGCCGAGGCCGCAGTTAACAAGTAAAGTGTCTGGAAAATAAGAGGGTCGCCTCCCCCTGTCCTCCATCGAGTAGACTACTCTGTAGTCCACTGGTGGAGCCTCCGCCCAGAGAGCGGAAGGTCTGTGGTTTGATCCCCATCTGTGTCATCCAAAAGACGCCAAAAGAGTACAGCTGAAGCACCGACCAGGTTGTGACCAGGCGTGCAACAATGTGCTTTTCTGCACAGTGACACAATTTTCTAAACAAATACACTTTCACACTTTCAGGTGGAAATTAGAAAATACCTTCTTCTGTACAATTCCATACTGGAGTTCGGGCAGATCACAGAAGCCCAGACTCTGGTAGAACCATTCATCATTGAAGCCAAGCGTTGCTGTTCCGTGAATCAACACCTTCAGGGCCTGTCATGGGACAATGTCGGTTTATGAGGTCATCAACATGACATTTACAGCTACCATATTCAACGTAATAAGCGCCACGCTCTAATAGGCGCCCACAGCGATATTTGCTAATATATTGGCTAGTGAACAATCCCAATTAGTACCCCTTCCAATTGATCAATGTACACAAGACTTATTTATTTGTGTATCATACACACTTGTGTGTTATATGCACCCTTAATTACGGGCAATCTAATTCTGGAAAAATATATCTGTGTCATGTATAATACACACAGACTTTTCTTTTGTATCATTTCAGGCTGTCCGCATAAACAATGAAATGAGTGTTTAATAGTTCAAAGGTATTCAGTTTCATTATCTGATCAGAACTTCCGATTCCTGTATCGACACGGTACATAATTTGAATCTGGACTGCACAAGATTTGTAATTCGAACTATCAAACATTCCTCTACATATAAACTACAGGAATGAAATGAGTGTTTAATAGTTCAAAGGTATCTAATTTCATTATTTCGATCAGAACTTCCGATTCCTGTATCGACACGGTACATAATTTGAATCTGGACTGCACAAGTCTGTTGATCAGAGGAACACACAATAATGCTGATAGTGATATTCTGATAATCGATTATTGCTGATGACTGATCAGTTATCTGATTGATTATATGTGACTACTGAGATGTCTTCAAACATACAGATAAGGGCTGGGACAGGTAACTCGGGTACCCGGGTCGGGTGGGTACTGAGTAGGACCCGGGTACCCACAGGACTACCCGGACCCGTGGTTGGTCTCGTGATATATTGTTTAATGACAAAAATATCTAGAACTCTATGGTTACACTACAAGTTACTAATTGTAACATTTTTTTCTGACTGTGCACCCATTCCTTCTGATTTTTTATATGGTGGAATAAAGATATAACCTGATTCAACTTCAGTGTATGAATGACCAGATTGTTTAATACATGTACCGTATATCGCTGTGTATAAGGCGACCCCACGTATAAGACGACCCCCCTGTACACGCCTTAAAAATCAACCCAAAATCCTATACTCCGTGTATAAGGCGACCTGGAATGAAACACATCACAAGTCTGACTGATATACCGGTAGAAGATTTAACGTGCTCTTGCCGACTGTAGCATATTTCGCACACGGACATCACAAATTAGTTAGTTAGTTACTTTGGAGATTTAATGTGCGCTTTCCGACTGATGCGTATTTCGCACACATCACAAGTGAGCACACAAACCTTATATATGCAATAAAAATATGTTTATCTTGCATTGTTTTTTTTCTACAATGATAGGTCGCGTGTGTAACTCCGGCACACGTTGCCATTTTGTGTTTACACGGTACGACACCAAATTGGTGCCCGTAAAATAAAATTCATTTATGAAGTAATAACATATACCGGTAAGAGACAATGTTGAGTAATTTAATCGCCAATTAACTATGTTGTAACTAATGTTTGCTTCACATTCAGCGTGTTTATTCCACAATCACTTGTACACACCGTCTCCAACACTTGTTAATACAACTGTAAAAACAGCGGGAATTGATTTCAGCTTCACCGGTTATCACATGTTAGGTCACATGTGCAATATGCAAATGATTACCGGTACTTCCGGCTCTCTACTCACGGATGTTGATTGTTTTACCGTGTCAGCTGGTTTGACAATCTGCATCGAGGAGAGGGTCATTTCAACTTTATTTGCAGAAATTATTAAACTTTATTCAAGGAAAAGAGATACAAATCATGTTTATGTATGGAAATAGTTATTGGAACAGTTATTTAGGACGAAATGCGAAGTTTTATTGTCAAATGCTGGGCTGGCTATCGGACGCCGGTTGACATCGCCAGTGGAAAAAAATGTGAGATCTTCAACTCCGTGTATAAGACGACCCCCCTTCTTAGCCCCCTCATTTTAGGTACGAAAAACTCGCCTTATACACAGCAATATACGGTATCTAAATACGTTTTGCCAGGCCTATGCTAAAAAATGTTCCCAAATCGGACATTTTGAGACATCTGCTGAGACCTACAGTGGGTACCCGGGTAGGGTCGCGTAATAGGGGCGTGGGTACCCGGGTTGTAAATTTGGACTCGTCCCAGCCCTAATACAGATAGTTCCTGATGACAAAACACAGAATCTTACCACAGCTGTCTTTGTGTCAATGGGTTGGGAATCCAGTTTGCTAGAGTTCATCTTCATCCGGTTATTATTTGGCTTTAAGATCGAGGATGTAGGACCAAGGTGAAGGTTACTAACTTCATTCTCAAGGTCGTCCATATCACCAAATTCCACATCTCCCACCAAGGTTTTAACTGGTTCGCTGAAGGAAATAAATATTAAAAGACACTCAAATGTATGTGTTTACCAGTCTCTTGATTACGTCCATGTCAACACTTGCCGTGTGCTTGATTCTCATGAAATTCCAGCATTCATTACAGACAATCTGATACGGATCATTATTATAGTCAACAATGATGCTCATCAAGCTGATTTTGATAAATTCATAAAAAGTAAGGGTTAAACAGTTCAAAATAAAGAATAAAACTCAAAGTTAATAAAAGTCAGTTTAGACAAATTTGAGTGTTTGCATACTGGCAAACACACACCCTTCTTGTGTTGATGGTGATGTTGGTCATGGTGGTGCTGATAATGGTGATGGTGTCGGTGTTGATTGTGATGTTGGTGGGGCTGATGGTGATGATGATGATGATAGTGGTGGTGATGATGATGGTGGTGTTGTGTTGATGGTGATGTTGGTCATGGTGGTGCTGATGATGGTGATGGTGATGGTGATGATGTTGGTGGTGCTGATGGTGATGGTGGTGATGGTGATGATGGAGGTGGTGGGGATGGTGGTGGTGATGGTGGTGGTGATGGTGGTGATGGTGGTGATGGTGATGGTGATGATGATGATAGTGGTGGTGATGATGATGGTGTTGTGTTTGATGGTGATGTTGGTCATGGTGGTGCTGATGATGGTGATGGTGATGATGTTGGTGGTGATGGTGGAGGTGGTGGTGATGGTGGTGATGGTGGTGATGGTGGTGATGGTGGTGATGGTGGTGGTGGTGGTAATGGTGGTGGTGATGGTGGTGATGGTGATGGTGATGGTGGTGATGGTGGTGATGGTGATGGTGATTGTGGTGATGGTGATGATGGTGATGATGGTGATGGTGATTGTGATGGTGGTGATGGTGATTGTGGTGGTGATGGTGATGGTGGTGATGGTGATGGTGATTGTGGTGATGGTGATGATGGTGATGATGGTGATGGTGATTGTGATGGTGGTGATGGTGATGGTGATGATGGTGATGATGGTGATGGTGATTGTGGTGATGGTGATGGTGATGATGGTGGTGATGGTGGTGGTGATTGTGGTGATGGTGATGATGGTAATGGTAATGGTGGCGGTGGTGATGATGGAGATGGTGATGGTGGTGATGATGATGGTAATGGTGGTGATGGTGGTGATGATGGTGGTGGTGATGATGGTGATGGTGATGGTGATGGTGGTGATGGTGGTGATGGTAATGGTAATGGTGGCGGTGGTGATGATGGAGATGGTGATGGTGATGGTGGTGGTGATGGTGATGGTGATGGTGATGGTGATGGTGATGGTAATGGTGGTGATGGTGGAGGTGGTGGTGATGATGGTGGTGATGATGGTGATGGTGATGGTGATGGTGGTGATGGTGGTGATGGTGATGGTGATTGTGGTGATGGTAATGGTAATGGTGGTGGTGGTGATGATGGAGATGGTGATGGTGATGGTGGTGGTGATGCTGATGGTGATGGTGGTGATGATGGTGATGGTAATGGTGATGATGGTGGTGATGGTGATGATGGTGGTGATGATGGTGATGATGGTGGTGATGATGGTGATGGTGGTGATGATGGTGATGATGGTGGTGATGATGGTGATGGTGATGGTGATGATGATGGTGATGGTGGTGATGGTGATGATGGTGGTGGTGATGATGGTGATGGTGAGAGTGATGGTGATGGTGGTGATGGTGAGAGTGATGGTGATGATGGTGGTGGTGATGATGGTGATGGTGAGAGTGATGGTGATGGTGGTGATGGTGATGGTGATGGTGATGATGGTGATGATGGTGATGGTGATGATGGTGATGGTGAGAGTGATGGTGATGGTGGTGATGGTGATGGTGATGATGGTGATGGTGATGGTGATGGTGATGGTGGTGATGATGGTGGTGGTAATGGTGGTGATGGTGGTGATGGTGATGATGGTGATGGTGGTGATGATGGTGATGGTAATGGTGGTGATGGTGGTGATGGTGGTGATGGTGATGGTGATGGTGATGATGGTAATGGTGGTGGTAATGGTGGTGATGGTGGTGATGATGGTGGTGGTAATGGTGGTGATGGTGATGATGGTGATGGTGATGGTGGTGATGATGGTGGTGGTGATGGTGGTGATGGTGATGATGGTGATGGTGGTGATGATGGTGATGGTAATGGTGGTGATGGTGGTGATGGTGGTGATGGTGATGGTGATGGTGATGGTAATGGTGGTGATGATGGTGATGATGGTGATGGTAATGGTGGTGGTGATGATGGTGATGGTGGTGATGATGGTGATGATGGTGATGGTAATGGTGATGGGGATGGTGGTGATGGTAGTGGTGATGATGGTGGTGATGATGGTGATGGTGGTGATGATGGTGATGGTAATGGTGGTGGTGATGGTGGTGATGTGATAGTGATGATGGTGATGATGGTGGTGATGATGGTGATGATGGTGGTGATGATGGTGATGGTGGTGATGATGGTGGTGATGGTGGTGATGATGGTGGTGATGGTGGTGATGGTGGTGATGATGGTGATGGTGATGGTGGTGGTGGTGATGTGATAGTGATGATGGTGATGATGGTGGTGATGGTGGTGATGATGGTGATGATGGTGGTGATGATGGTGATGGTGGTGATGATGGTGGTGATGGTGGTGATGGTGGGGATGGTGGTGGTGATGGTGATGGTAATGGTGGTGGTGATGGTGATGGTGGGGATGGTGATGATGGTGGTGATGATGGTGATGATGGTGATGGTAATGGTGGTGGTGATGATGGTGATGGTGGTGATGATGGTGATGGTGGTGGTGATGGTGATGGTGATGGTAATGGTGGTGGTGATGGTGGTGATGGTGGTGATGGTGGTGGTGATGGTGATGGTGATGGTAATGGTGGTGATGGTGATGGTGGTGGTGATGGTGGTGATGGTGGTGGTGGTGGTGATGGTGATGGTGGTGATGGTAATGGTGGTGGTGATGGTGGTGATGGTGGGGATGGTGGTGGTGATGGTGATTGTAATGGTGGTGGTGATGATGGAGATGGTGGGGATGGTGATGATGGTGGTGATGGTGGTGATGGTGGTGATGATGGTGATGGTAATGGTGGTGGTGATGGTGGTGATGGTGGGGATGGTGGTGGTGATGGTGATGGTGATTGTAATGGTGGTGGTGATGATGGAGATGGTGGGGATGGTGATGATGGTGGTGATGGTGGTGATGGTAATGGTGGTGGTGATGGTAATGGTGGTGGTGGGGATGGTGATGGTGGTGGTGGTGATGGTGGTGATGGTGGTGATGGTAATGATGGTGGTGATGGTGGTGATGGTGGTGATGGTGGTGATGGTGGTGATGATGGTGGTGATGGTGGTGATGGTGGGGATGGTGGTGGTGATGGTGATGGTGATGGTAATGGTGGTGGTGATGGTGATGGTGGGGATGGTGATGATGGTGGTGATGATGGTGATGATGTTGATGGTAATGGTGGTGGTGATGATGGTGATGGTGGTGATGATGGTGATGGTGGTGGTGATGGTGATGGTAATGGTGGTGGTGATGGTGGGGATGGTGGTGGTGATGGTGATGGTGATGGTAATGGTGGTGATGGTGATGGTGGTGGTGATGGTGGTGATGGTGGTGATGTGATAGTGATGATGGTGATGATGGTGGTGATGATGGTGATGATGGTGGTGATGATGGTGATGGTGGTGATGATGGTGGTGATGGTGGTGATGGTGGTGATGGTGGGGATGGTGGTGGTGATGGTGATGGTAATGGTGGTGGTGATGGTGATGGTGGGGATGGTGATGATGGTGGTGATGATGGTGATGATGGTGATGGTAATGGTGGTGGTGATGATGGTGATGGTGGTGATGATGGTGATGGTGGTGGTGATGGTGATGGTAATGGTGGTGGTGATGATGGTGATGGTGGTGATGATGGTGATGGTAATGGTGGTGGTGATGATGGTGATGGTGGTGATGATGGTGATGGTGGTGGTGATGGTGATGGTAATGGTGGTGGTGATGGTGGTGATGGTGGGGATGGTGGTGGTGGTGGTGATGGTGATGGTGGTGATGGTAATGGTGGTGGTGATGGAGATGGTGGGGATGGTGATGATGGTGGTGATGATGGTGATGGTGATGGTAATGGTGATGGTAATGGTGGTGATGGTGGTGGTGATGGTGGTGATGGTGGTGATGGTGGTGGTGATGATGGTGATGGTGGTGATGATGGTGATGGTGATGATGGTGGTGATGGTGGTGGTGATGGTGATGGTAATGGTGGTGGTGATGATGGTGATGGTGATGATGGTGGTGATGATGGTGATGATGGTGATGGTGGTGGGGATGGTGGTGATGGTGGGGATGGTGATGGTGGTGGTGATGGTGGTGATGGTGGTGGTGGTAATGGTGGTGGTGATGGAGATGGTGGGGATGGTGATGATGGTGGTGATGATGGAGATGGTGGGGATGGTGATGATGGTGGTGATGGTGGTGATGGTAATGGTGGTGGTGATGGTGGTGATGGTGGTGATGATGGTGATGGTGATGGTAATGGTGGTGGTGATGGTGGTGATGGTAATGGTGGTGGTGATGATGGTGATGGTGATGGTAATGGTGGTGGTGATGGTGGTGATGGTAATGGTGGTGGTGATGGTGATGATGGTGGTGGTGATGGTGGTGATGGTGGTGGTGGTAATGGTGGTGGTGATGGAGATGGTGGTAATGGTGGTGGTGATGGTGATGATGGTGGTGGTGATGGTGGTGATGGTGGTGGTGGTAATGGTGGTGGTGATGGTGATGATGGTGGTGGTGATGGTGGTGATGGTGGTGGTGGTAATGGTGATGGTGATGGTGGTGATGATGGTGGTAATGGTGATGGTGATGGTGATGGTGGTGATGATGGTGATGATGGTGATGATGGTGGTGATGGTGGTGATGGTAATGGTGGTGGTGATGGTGGTGATGGTGGTGATGATGGTGGTGATGGTGGTAATGGTGGTGGTGATGGTGGTGGTGGTAATGGTGGTGGTGATGGTGATGATGGTGGTGGTGATGGTGGTGATGGTGGTGGTGGTAATGGTGATGGTGATGGTGGTGATGATGGTGGGGATGGTGATGATGGTGGTGATGGTGGTGATGGTAATGGTGGTGGTGATGGTGGTGATGGTGGTGATGATGGTGATGATGGTGATGGTGGTGATGGTAATGGTGGTGGTGATGGAGATGGTGGGGATGGTGATGATGGTGGTGATGATGGTGATGGTGATGGTAATGGTGATGGTAATGGTGGTGATGGTGGTGGTGATGGTGGTGATGGTGGTGGTGGTAATGGTGGTGGTGATGGAGATGGTGGGGATGGTGATGATGGTGGTGATGATGGTGGTGATGGAGATGGTGGGGATGGTGATGATGGTGGTGATGGTGGTGATGGTAATGGTGGTGGTGGTGGTGGTGGTGATGGTGGTGATGGTGGTGATGATGGTGATGGTGATGGTAATGGTGGTGGTGATGGTGGTGATGGTAATGGTGGTGGTGATGGTGATGATGGTAATGGTGGTGGTGGTGATGGTGATGGTAATGGTGGTGGTGATGGTGGTGATGGTAATGGTGGTGGTGGTGGTGGTGGTAATGGTGATGGTGATGGTGATGATGGTGATGGTGATGGTAATGGTGGTGGTGATGGTGGTGATGGTAATGGTGGTGGTGATGGTGGTGATGGTGGTGATGATGGTGATGATGGTGGTGATGGTGGTGATGGTGGTGATGGTGATGATGGTGGTGATGGTGATGGTGGTGGTGATGGTGGTGATGGTGATGATGGTGATGGTAATGGTGGTGGTGATGGTGGTGATGGTAATGGTGGTGGTGATGGTGGTGATGATGGTGATGGTGGTGATGGTGATGATGGTGGTGATGGTGATGGTGGTGGTGATGGTGGTGATGGTGGTGGTGGTGGTGATGGTGATGGTGGTGATGATGGTGATGGTAATGGTGGTGGTGATGGAGATGGTGGGGATGGTGATGATGGTGGTGATGGTGGGGATGGTGGTGGTGGTGGTGATGGTGATGGTGGTGATGATGGTGATGGTAATGGTGGTGGTGATGGAGATGGTGGGGATGGTGATGATGGTGATGATGGTGGAGATGGTGGGGATGGTGGTGATGGTGGTGATGGTAATGGTGGTGGTGATGGTGGTGATGATGGTGGTGATGGTGGTGATGGTGGTGATGGTGGTGATGGTGATGATGATGGTGATGGTGGTGATGGTGGTGGTGGTGGTGATGGTGATGGTGGTGATGATGGTGATGATGGTGGTGATGGTGGTGATGGTGGTGATGGTGGTGATGGTGGTGATGGTGATGGTGGTGGTGATGGTGGTGATGGTGGTGGTGGTGGTGATGGTGATGGTGGTGATGATGGTGATGATGGTGGTGATGGTGGTGATGGTGATGGTGGTGGTGATGGTGGTGATGGTGGTGGTGGTGGTGGTGATGGTGATGGTGGTGATGGTAATGGTGGTGGTGATGGAGATGGTGGGGATGGTGATGATGGTGGTGATGATGGAGATGGTGGGGATGGTGATGATGGTGGTGATGGTGGTGATGGTAATGGTGGTGGTGATGGTGGTGATGGTGGTGATGATGGTGGTGATGGTGGTGATGGTGGTGATGGTAATGGTGGTGGTGATGGTGGTGATGGTGGGGATGGTGATGATGGTGGTGATGGTGGTGATGGTAATGGTGGTGGTGATGGTGGTGATGGTGGTGATGATGGTGGTGATGGTGGTGATGGTGGTGATGGTGATGGTGATGGTAATGGTGGTGATGGTGGTGATGGTAATGGTGATGATGGTGGTGATGGTAATGGTGATGATGGTGGTGATGGTAGTGGTGATGGTGATGGTGATGGTAATGGTGGTGATGGTGGTGATGGTAGTGGTGATGATGGTGGTGATGGTAATGGTGATGATGGTGGTGATGGTAGTGGTGATGGTGATGGTGATGGTAATGGTGGTGATGGTGGTGATGGTAGTGGTGATGATGGTGATGATGGTGGTGATGGTGGTGATGATGGTGGTGATGGTGGTGATGATGGTGGTGATGGTAATGGTGATGGTGATGGTGATGGTGGTGATGGTGGTGATGGTGGTGATGATGGTGGTGATGGTAATGGTGATGGTGATGGTAATGGTGGTGATGGTGGTGATGGTGGTGATGGTAATGGTGGTGATGGTGGTGATGGTGGTGATGGTGGGGATGGTGGTGGTGATGGTGATGGTGATGGTGATGGTAATGGTAATGGTGGTGGTGATGGTGGTGATGGTGGTGATGGTGGGGATGGTGGTGGTGGTGGTGGTGGTGATGGTGGGGTGGGTGGTGATGGTGGGGATGGTGATGATGGTGGGGATGGTGATGGTGATGGTAATGGTAATGGTGGTGGTGATGGAGATGGTGGGGATGGTGATGATGGTGGTGATGGTGGTGATGGTGGTGATGGTGGTGATGGTGGTGATGGTGGTGATGGTAATGGTAGTGACAGTGGTGTCTCAGTATGTTTCCAATTTATATTCACATAACAGATACTCAGAATCTCTAAACTAAAGATACTAGTATAAAACAAACTTCTCTCAACTAAAGTACCTGGACCTGGACGTTGTCCGACTTTTGGGGCGATCCCGTGACATGCTGGACATGTCAACACTGTAGCTCTTCTTCTGCACTACCTCGGACTGCGAATTACGACGACTAATCTGGTCCAGCCTCTCTGAGCTCTTCTCCAACACATCCTCAATAGAAACACGGTTCCGAGAGCCTTTCACTTCAGTGTCCTTGTCAACTCGACTGATTGGTTGTGGTTCATGGTGTGTACGTGACTTAGGTGTGTAGGAGTTGGTGCTAGGCTCTGGTAACACAGGGTCCGACCTGTCCTCTAGACTAGAGTTGGATGCAGTAGAGGGCAAGGTGGCAACTGGACGAGACTGGGAGCTGGCGGAAAATCGTGGCTTTGGGTTTCTTCTTCGATTGGCATCCTGCAGGTGATAGAAGCAAAGTTTACGGTTATTTAACATCACTTATATCCCAGTGAGTGAGTGAGTGAGTGAGTGAGTGAGTGAGTGAGTGAGTGAGTGAGTGTGAGTGAGTGTGTGAGTGAGTGAGTGAGTGAGTGAGTGAGTGAGTGAGTGAGTGAGTGAGTGAGTGAGTGAGTGAGTGCGTGCGTGCGTGCGTGCGTGCGTGCGTGCGTGCGTGCGTGCGTGAGTGAGTGAGTGAGTGAGTGAGTGAGTGAGTGAGTGAGTGAGATTGACAGTTACTTCTAAATTCAACTCTTTTCGGTTTGACTTTAATAGGATTTTCTTCTTCCCGTGATAGACATAACATATAATGACCAGACCAGAAATAATTTTTAAAAATTACAAATTCATGCTTGTTAAAAAAATCTTTGACTCTGTTACCATGGTAACTTGTGACATCTCTCATTCAAATTAGATTTCTATGGTTAGTAACATGCTGAAATGTTTCCTTTTCTTGTTGTTCACCTACATCAAGATTACTCAAAATAGCCCCTGGCATAGGTCTTCGTTTTGATGAGAGGGGTCTGGTTTGTAGGCGTGGTGCTGGGTCCGGGTCGGACATCTCACTGGAGAAGATACCCGACTTCCCCTCCCCCAGTAGGGTCTCACTCTCGATGTCATCTTCTATCACGATGTCAGTGTGGTCATTGCCTGCAAGTTTCCAAACATTATAAGTTGTAGCAGGATCAGGAGGGGAACGTTCCGTAATATGTTAAATATCACGAGCCGGAGATGAGTGGTAGAAAACCTAACAGTGAGTGAGTGAGTGAGTTGGGTTTAACGCCGCTTTTAACAGTATTCCAGTTATATCGCGGCGTGTCAGTTGAATGTGTGAGGAAAGCTCAAGGTGATGCAGGTCTCAGACGTTAACCACTTTGGTGAAACCTACGAGCACGGGTATGGTGCTGACAAACCTAGAAAAATAATCGGGGTGAACCGGGATTCGAACCCACAATCATAGGTTTCTGGCATGCCCAAGGGACGCAACTATGCACAGTGAATCCCGGCGAGAAAACCTAACAAGGAACGCATAAAACCCCATATACCTTGGGTGGTCCTGCTACAATGAATTTATCTTACCAACATGTTTTAATGTGACATTGTAAAACAATTCAAACAAATTGATAGAAAACAATTTAGCTGCAGTCGTGCTATGTCACGTGACTTCCACAGACACGGAAAAAGAGTGTGGCCTTTTGGTTTGAAGCATGGTATAAGAAATTATTTTGTCTCTCAGAAATGCACGTGCAGCCTGAATTGCTTGTGGCAGGTGAAATTGAGAATCTCACCCTCGTGTCTTTTGATCTCAAATATATCAACACGAGTTGATAAAAGTGGGAAAACTCCGAGGCTTGCCAAGGATTTTTTCCACTTTAATCAACGAGTTTTGATATATTTCATATCAAAAGACACGAAGGTGAATTTTTATTTATCATCAAATCATCATTCTTCCAACTTTTTCAGTTTGTAGAAAGTAATAAGCAGTGTCTTAAGTGTAAAAAGTACTGCTAACAGCTTCAGTAGCAGAGCCATTAGTGATGTCATTTGATTGTGACGTCATTGTAACCAATGACGTCACAATGGTCTGCAAAGCATTGTGATGCAATTTCATTGCAGCGATATCGACAGTGTAGATATCGCTTGATCTCACCCAAGCGATATCTCCTGTGGGAACCAGTTTGGGATGATAAAGAGATTTATTCTCCTCGAAGGCGGGATATATCGTATTTTATCAAGATCACATGGACCAATCAGATCTCGTCATTCCTAGAAACATAATCAGGGCAAACTGAGATTCGAACCGATGGTCATAGGTTTCTGATGTGCCCAAGGGACACAACTCTGCACAGAGAATTACAGCACATTAGACGACTGGGCCACATGTGCCCCCAAATCATGTAAATTGTCTGTGTTGTTGAAAAACATAAGCAAGATAAGTAAAAATATTGATTATTTCTTTTTCCAATTTTTAAGATCAATGATAAAAGTAGGCTCAGCAGACTCAAAATAAACAAAATACAAAACATATTTAACCAGCATTCAACAACATCATACTTCACAATGCCCAGACTAAGCAGGAACATTTGTGTCCAACTGGTGTTATTCCGGGACAAGCCGAATAGTGACTCGTGCCCCTCTTATGGACATTTTTGTGACCGGGTTCCGTCTTACCACAAACAGCCATACCTAAAAACGTTGTGTATTTATGGTTCACATATATTTCCCCATATAAAATATATATTTCAGATACAATTTAAAGCACATCGGGACATGTGGAATTATATAGTATGATTGAACACATTTAACTGTGTCTTGGGTATGTTTTTAGATGCAAGACATATGTTAAATCAAAAATTATTTCTGGGGGATTATTTGACGAAGAACTTGAAATCATACACCCATTCTGATTGGTTTGTTCTGATTTTCGCACATAACATTCAGCGATAGGGGGACAAGTCTTCTTGCAGGTTACGGAAAGGGGCAAGTGGTGATGAATGTGAGCTGTAAATAATCATCAAAAATAAGCAGCTTCATCAATTTGCCAAAGAAATAATTAGATACATGTCTATATTAAACATGATGAAAAGAAACATTACATTTCCGCCTCCTAATTTGTGATGATGATGGTCTGGTCTTTGATGTCATCATGACCTCACTGCCACTGGATGAATTAGATGACCTTGACCCTGAGCGAGGAGATGTGAGAGACTTGGCTGGCTGTGACGAAGGCGAAGGACAGTCTGCTGCGGGTAGACCAAGACTTGGAGAATCCCTGGCAGTGACGGTTTTCTCCATGAAGAATCTTGACATGACTTCAATCATAGTGCGCAGGGGTGGATCCATGTCCTGTGGTAAGGGATTAAATACTGACATAATCAGATAATTTCATTCCTGATGAACAATAATGAAAACATAGACAAGAAACTATGATGGATGGCAACTTCCAATCTCATTAAAATCAGATCTTAGTTTTCACTACCGCTAAGCAAAGATCTGAGGACATCCCATTACGGATCACGTCAGAACGACCTTTCTCGAACTTTGACCGACCAATGAAATGACTGACAAGAAAGTGACATTAGCCAATCAGAAGCCAGCTTTCTTGAGCTTTAAGACACTAGTTTCAAACTGGCGATTACGCTTCGAAACATATTTTGACGTATTCTCGATTAAAGAATTTAAAATTGATCAAAACAATATTCTGGAATGGCTTATAGATAGCCTAGATTGTATGGGTAGAACTGTAACTGTCGTTCGGAATACCCCGTGTTAAATATTTCGAGGTTGCATGACCAGAAAACACAGTCCGACTGTCACTTTCATGATCTGGTAAGCGACGCTCTGATTCGTTGGATTAAAGGTCGTTCAGACGTGTGCCGTAATGGGGTGTCCTCAGATCTTTGTTTAGCGGTAGCGAGACTGAAGAGATCTGATTTTAATGAGATTGGACAACTTCTTTATTGTTTGTGACATTTCAGGGGTACTTCTTGCCTCTTGCTGAACACCAGTAAGTGTATTAAGAGTGTTTGAGATTGAAAACAAATTATGTAAATTGTTTGTTTGTTTGTTTGTTGCTTGTTTCATGTTGTTTAACGCCGCACTCAGCAATAATCCAGCTATATGACGGCGGCCTGTAAATAATCGAGTCATCCAGTGATTGACATCATGAGCATTGATCCACACAATTGGGATACGATGATGTGCATCAAACCAAGTCAGTGAGCCTGACCACCTCATCCCGTTAGTCGCCTCTTACGACAAGCATAGTCGCCTTTTACGGCAATCATGAGTTGCTGAAGACCTATTCTAACCCGGATCTTCACGGGTATAAAATTGTTGGTGAAAATTATTTTAAGTGTTAATATTAATAATTCCTTTTTCCACTTTTGATGAAGGAATGAAGGAAGTAGGACAAATTTTCCAGAAATGTTAGACAAGATGTGTGACATCTATAAGGGCCCTTAATTCATGTTAATTACTTGCACTAGTCTGCTAGGAAATGGCATTATCGTATAATGGCTTGTGATAAACCAATCTATAAAAAAAAATCACTCTCCTACCCCGAGTTTCATGCGACCAGCATAGTACCTCTGCCATGTGACGATTCGTAACATCTTACACAGTCCATTCAAGACATTGCATATGTTTTTCATCTGTTTCATTTTTGACAAGTCTACTTATCTAGATAAACATATGTCCTAGAATGGTTAACTTTTATTGAGAAAATATCCTAAATCATGAAAAACTATTTTCCATTTGTGTAGTTATCCTACGTTTACATTGGTTGTGCAGCTCCACATGCTGTCATCGAAGACCTATTGAGACCTAGCGATGGATCACTTTGATGTGTAAATATGTATTGTGATGCAACTCACTGTTGTTATGGTTGTAGTATCATATTTATATATTATGCAAACCAATATGTACCAGGTAAAGCGCCCCAAAGTCCGTTCTATTCTGATTTCTGAAAAAGCGTGTTTGTTTACTCACAAGAGAAAAGTCTGGACACATGATACGCAAATTAGCCTGTGGCAGTGGTGTTATGCTAGGCCCCACTGCGCCAGAGTGTGAAACTTGGTATCACAATCTGATAAATATGCAAATGAGGCAGCCTCGAGGGAACTACATACATCGATGCAATGCCTTCTTTCTCAATAAACTGTTGACTCACATTCCCAATATACTTAGATAGGGGTTCCCCAATGTGTTAACATGTTTCTACAGACACATAGCTGCTAGTCCTTTGGCACTATATGAGAAATTGGGTGGTTCACTCAAACATTGTATCCATCCAAAGTTTCTGAAGCTACTTCAATGTGTGAAATTATTTTAACAATGACATTGTATGATATAGAGATTATTTCCTTTCTGTGTTTAGGAATAAATATAACGGTGAGTGAGACTTAGAATTAACTATCACATCAACAATATTTCAGCCACATCATATATATCCTTGCGTACTGTGTTTTCGAGCCCCTAAGACATATTTCTCATAACGAGTCTAATAACAGTTGCAATTCACTGAAATTAAGCCTTAACTTTGAGCATATATATTTCTGTTTACAGTTAGATAGTCGAATGACCACATCTTGTCAATTTAATCATGATAATGCCTCAATGAGTCAATTAAGCGCCATCTTGTTACAGTCACCTTATTTTGAGCCCCCCCCATGACAGTCACATGACATTACAGACAGCAAGTTCACAAACAGCAGCCAATACATCATCGGTGCATCCGATTGTTGATGCCAAATGCAAAATTATCATCAGATCAAGTTTGATTAAAATGTGCATTCATCATGTTCATGAAAAAGTAAGTTTTGAGGTATGTTTTCATTACTTATTGAATATCTTACCTCTTGTATCTTAATTCATAAAATAATTTCAGGGACAAGTGGTGAGCACTTTGAGGTCTTCAGTGAGCTTTGAAGTGTTTACTTTGATTACGTCATTAACATGATGAAGCACATGGTGACGTATTGTTTAGGGGCTCGAAAAGAGGTGAGGCTTGTGTCGATTGTGTTGCAACATTGTGTACATGGTGTAAATATGGTAAGTCAGGCAGCATTCAAACAAACAAAATGTACCTTGTTTTTCTTCATGAGTTTTTCTATCTTGACTTCCTTCATGAGTGCCTGCCTGTTGCTGATGCTGCTACCTGTCCTTGGCATCTCCTCATCCATCACTTGTAGAGTTGTTTTGAGACCCTGCAGGACATGATCATGATGATGTCAGCTGCGTTACTTACCGTATTCGACGTAATAAGCGCCCTGCTCTAACACCCACGGCGATATTTGCTAATATATTGGCTAGTGAACAATCCCAATTAGCACCCCTTTCCATTGATCAAGGTACAAGGACTTATTTATTTGTGTATAATACGTATGTTATATGCATTCTTAATTATGGGAAATTAAATTCTGGAAAAAATATATCTGTCGTATATAAACATTTCAGGCTGTCAGCATAAACCACGAAATTTACCATCTTTCAACCGAAATAATATGATCTTTTCACCAAAATAATATTCTAATAAGAGCCCCCTATTTCAAACTTTGAGAGCGCCCTGGGTGCTTATTATGTCGAATACAGTATATGCTTTGTGCATGATGTGGCAGCAGTATCACAGTGCTAGCAGTCATCCATGTTTGCCGGAAAAGGCGACTATACTTGTCGTAAGAGGCGACTAACGGGATCGGGTGGTCAGGCTCACTCACATGGTTGATGCATGTCATTGTATCTAAATTTGCGTGGATCGATGCTGATGATCTCAATCACAGGATTGTTTGGTCCAGACTCGATTATTTAAAGATCGCCATCATATAGCTGGCATATAGCTGAGTGCGGCTTTAAACAACAAACAAACAAACAGCATGGACAGTGACTGTGTTACACGTCACAACATGGAGGTATGAAGACAGTCAATCAATCAAGACACTGAGCCTGACCACCTAAACCACTTGGTCACCCCTTGACCAACATAGATGTCTGTGGACCAATTCTAACCTGGAATCCCCACAGAGCCATGTAGCAGCAATACAATGATTGCAGTTAAATACTGTTACACACCATATATCAGTACCACAGTGCAAGCAGCATAGCATGCAGTAACTAGTTATGTTCTGATATCGGTTTATATTATGCAAACGTGAAGTTGACGTTGATAATTACACCATCACCTAATCGAACCAAGTTCTGGAAGTAACAGATTAACACTTTTTTATTTTCACATTCAGTCTACCTTTGCACATATTCTAGAATGCCTTTCCCTGATTGCAAACAAATGCATATATCTATAATAAGAGATAGTAGCTAAACTGCCAAACCCGTTATTGTAAACCTAACTCTTGTCATTCAACAACAAATGTTTTCTCTTCACAATTGCTTACCTTCCGACTGAGATATTCCCTTACAAGTGATGCTGAAATATCCTCAATGAAACTATTTGACAAAGCCATTCTTGTGGTTAGATATTTGCCAAGGGTTTGTTTACAAACTCAGAAAATTACTGTGGATGCCTCGCATGTCATCCGTTTTCGGCCATTTTGAAACAAATTGAGTTCCTTAGATACTACAAAAATGGGATCGCTTACCGAAAGCGGATTAATATATTTTAGTACGTAATGACTTTACAGAAGATATGTAATTATTAAGAAATTATTATATCTTACACGTTAGCCAACAAACATTGTAAACACAGACAAAAACGCACATATTAATATTGTAACTAACTGAGTCTAACTCAGGCCAATTGACGATACTTTTACATATTCCTATTTCAAAAGTTACCTCCCCTTACCTACGCTCAAGCGAAATGTGCAGTATATTGTCCTAATAAAAAGTCATTGACTAATAATCAGCGGGTAATATTAGCAAGTTCCATCGGTCATTGGGAACGCGGATTACAGTTAGGCGTGCCATGGAGCGATTTTTATATATCAGTATAAAATTATACTCAATATATATAATTTGAAAATATTGCCTTTCAAAAGGGGGTTTAATTAAATGCCCCTTAATCATAACAATTATACAACGAAAACTCGATAATCCGGATACATATCAAACAATAATGATGTCCATGAATCATTCATATTACACATATCTATACTGATCTACGACTCAATTACTAAGTTATTAAAACAGTACTGTCAATTCTAGACCCGAATAGTATTTACGTTAGGCTCATCGATCTTCACTAGACAACCTATTTCTAGTGTTAACATTAGGCTATTCTTACGAATATTAAATACTCATTTTCTAATATATAATGAAAATACTGGTACACGTTTCTTCAAGATGTCTGAAATCAAAATTACCTGCGCACGGAATACAATTGTCAAGCTCGAATTAACCTCCTTCTCAGCTTGGATCTATGGGTAATCCCATACTCAACGGTTAGGTGTACTATTGCGTACAGTGACAAATGCCTACAGTGACTAATGCCTACAAAAGTTGTTGTTTTAGCGTACACACTGTTTCACGCACCCCTGCACTCAAGTGGTCTACTCTACTTAGTGTTCACTAATGCCTACACTGTAAACACAGACTAATTAATGCTTTATAAATGGTACTGGGATTGTGAAAATAATTGACCTTTGTATAAATTTATTTTCTTAGATGGTAGTGTACTTTGATAACCAAAGCAGGAAATATGGATTTTCTGTGAAATGAGAATAGAATAATAATGTTTTAAAGTAATTGATGATACATTTTAAGAAGGAAATTTTCCAGTATAAAATATAGTTATCGAAGATTGGCATGTAACTCACCAATTGTCCTTCTCAGCTTGCATATAATTACCGAATGAACCTTTTGTCCATAATACTGTTGTGGGGTAAGCGAAAGACACGGATAGGAATTGTTAGTAATTATTAAATTCAATTCCAATATCAAAAAACATTTATCTACGAATTTACTCCCGGTTTGTCTTCGAATTCCAACGTATACATGAGACACATTGTTGGATAGGCAAGAAGTTGACGGATGACAAAGTAGACACAATTTATGGACAACAAATTCTTTAATAGTGTTAAGGGGACGTTGTGTCTACTTTGTTATACATGAGATAGTTTGACAATATAGAGACAAATAGCAGACACTAGATTCAAACAGTTAGAGATGGGATAATATTATAATATGTATTTTCAATTAAAAACTGTGATTGCACGAAGTAACTAAATGCACATAGAAGTAAAGTTGGAGTCTGGATGAACACGGCCTAGATTTGCAGTGGAATGTGGATTTACAAAAGAAGAGCACTTACTTTGAATGTGTGAGAAGCTTATACAAGTCCCGAGGGAGAGGCATGGTCAAATTCATGGACTACGTCACAACATGGATTGAGGGAGCATGGGGATAACTGACTTGGAAGCACTTTGTTAATGAAGGCCACAGAACCAACAACATATTTAAGGTTGGAACAAACGTAATTCCCTGACCACATGCCACCTATAACTTTTTGCACCCCTGTTAACAGTAAAATGGGTTGACCAACATGCAAATTTCGTTTTACCGACCCGTGAAGATCCGGAGTAGAATAGGTCTTCAGCAACCAATGCTTGCCGCAAAAGGCGACTAACGGGATCGGGTGGTCATCACGTCATCGTATCCCAATTGCGTGGATCGATGCTCATGATATCAATCACTGGATTGTGTGGTCCAGACGCGATGTTTTACAGAACGCCGTATTATAGCTGGAATATTGCCGAGTGTGTCTTAAACAAAAAAACCAAAAAAAACTTCGTCTAACCAGCAAAGTCACTCATTCCTGATTACGCCTAGGTTGTCCAACTGCTACTGTTTACCTGTTATTAACCATTAGACGAAACCGGTTGATACTTTCCATTTCCTTAAAGATGAGTATTTGTAGTACAAATTAACACTAGGATAATTTGAACAAATGTTTAATAAGTCGACATGCTTCACAAGCCCATAACAAGGTAAAATACTTCTGGTATGAAGTCAAGAGTTTCTGAATAACGTAGATTCAAAGTCTAAGTGAAGCCAGTTCTTCTTCTGCTACGTGAAAGCTGGTCTCCGAGTCCCACTGATCTTCTCCTTCCTCCCCACCCATCTTCTTCAGCGGATTGCGCGTCCACCCAGAACTTCTGTAACGTGGAATTGAGGACTCCCATGGAACGATGTCTCCGACACTGACGTCCGTCTTGAGATGAATGATCCCTGGCGGCTTGACGTCAGGTCGTGATCCGGTTCCTGGGCCGAGTGGAAGCTGGTGTGCCAGTCCGACCCGGAGATGGATCGGACATGCGTATCTTCTTCCCTCCCATCTTCCTCTTCCTCTTGACTCACGTCATCATCGTCTTGCATGTCCTGCCAGTACTGCTGTTCGTGAAGTTCCTCCAACTCCACCATCTTCTCCTCCAGGAACTGCATGAAGACGTTCTTCACCCCCTCCACCGTCAGGGTCCTCATCCTCAGCTTGTACACCCACAGCAACATCTGCTTCCCATGGGCGTGGTCGTAACGAGCCTGGATCTCCGCCAGGTGGCGGTTGAGGAGCTTCACCTGCAGGACAGCCCGGGTGATCAGTCTCTGAGTCCAGATGATGTCAGCGCTGAGCGGGTCCATGATGGAGGTGGAACCGGAATTCAGAAGATGAACACTGTTTACTTGACAACGAGAAGACTTACTTTGGTTGTAAGTTGACGCAAGTGATTCAACGAACACTTCTAGCACTGTTGGTATAGCACTGCTTCCAGCAGACGTATATGTAGCCATGAAGGCATCTCCCGGAACGTCTCCTTCTCCACAACACGTGTTCATTGTGGTTAGAACAATGGACTTGGAAGTCAGTAGGCGTTGATAACTAACATCACACCTCTATAAGGCCGGACTGACATCGAAGTTTATAGAGCTGATAAAGACACATGGCCATGACAACCTAGCGAGCTCTAAGTGTCAGAGAGTTGTCTTTGCGTGACTTAATCCTCTACCTGTCAGAGTTGTTTTTATTGTACAGGTAACTGAACTGAACCAAATATATTTATGAATTGTTTGATGGGCATTATAATATAATAAATAAACTACATCCAGGACTTCCTAAACAATCGTAAAATAACCGTGGGTATAGACCAAACTCTATCGGACCAATGTCCCCTAGAAAATGTTACTCCACAGGGCAGTATCCTCAGCCCCACCCTCTTCAATATAATGATAAACGATCTATTCGAGGGCCTATCCCCTAAAGTAAACACATCAAAATTCGCGGATGATGGAGCCATCTGGATCCGCACTAAAAGCATGAACATGGTCCAAATTTTACTCCAAAAATCTCTTAATAAAATACAACAATGGGCAGACAAATGGGGCTTCTCCCTTAACTCAGAAAAAACAACAGGAATAGTATTCAAACATAAAAACATGAAACCCGCCTCCCCAATCCTCCAGCTAAACAATCAAACAATCAAACAATCAAATTTCAAAAACAAACCAAATTCTTAGGACTTATTTTCGATGAACATCTCACCTGGGATGCTCACATCCAAAACCTAACAACTAAATGCAGTAAAGACCTAAACACCCTAAGATGCCTAACTGGCTCTAACTGGGGAGCATCCAAAGATACCCTCCTCTCTCTCTACATATCACTAATTAGATCAAAACTAGACTACGGCTGCGCCATATACAATACCATAAACAACTCTCTATCTAAAAAACTTGACTCAATACAATATCAGGCTCTCAAACTAATTACACGCACCCAACATGGCACCTCCTACACCTCACTTCAGGCCTTAACAGGAGAAATGCCACTAAGTCTACGCAGGGAACAGCTAAGCTTAAATTTCTGGGCCGCGTCCCAAATCAAACCCTCTCATCCAAAACTTAATAAACCAAAACATCAGCCCCCAAAACCAAGCTCTAGCTCGTAAACACCCCTTACTTACCCCAATATCCCAAAGAATAACAAACTACCTAAATGAACACCAAATTAAAAATCTTAAACAAAACTGCAAACAATCAAATATCTTCACCCCTAAACTTAAAATACCCAAAATAGACACAACACTAGCTAGCCAAATAAATAAACAAACCGACCCAAACATAGCTAAAACTACCACACTAGCATACATACACGAAAATTGGCCAAATTGGTGTCACATTTACACGGACGGATCTTCAGATCCGACCTCCAAACACACAGGTTTCGGAGTCCATACCACACAACCAACTAAAACCACACAATCCTTCCGACTCCCAAACAACCAATCAATATTCACGGCAGAACTAATGGGCATGGCCTCAGCCCTCCATAATCAAGAATCAAAATAAAAAAATAAAAATCCTAATACTTACCGACTCCCTAAGTGGACTGCAAGCCCTCCAAAACAAAAATACCAAAAACCGACCTAAATTAATAAATCAAATACTTAAAAGCTCCAACGACCTTACTAAGGCAGGCAAACAAATAACCTTCTTGTGGATACCCGCCCACGTAGGAATATACGGTAATGAAAACGCCGATAAAGCAGCTAAACTATCCCTCAAAATCCCAGAAATAAGCTTAAACTTACCCATC